CACCATAACCACCACCATCACCACCACCAACACCATCAACACCACCACCACCATAACCACCATCATCACCACCACCAACACCATCAACACCACCACCACCACAACCATATCACCATCACCACCATCACCATCACCACCACGAGTATCACTGTCATTAGCTATTTTCTCTCCTATGAAACCCATCTCCCAGCCATACTTTATGGATTAAATGATAATGTGCGTGTAAAAGCAGCAATTTGTGCAGAGTGCTGGGAATGGTTCTATGGATACAGTGCTATTTTTGTCAAGCACAAGGCAGAGGGAGGTGCTGCGACCAGTCTTCCTCGAGGAAGAGCTCTCTCTCACAGACCAGAGTGCTCCTGCCTTGGAGAAGACATCTCTCTCACAGCTGCCATGCTTTCTTCACAGGCGTCGCCCTCAGCGCACTTCCCATGTACCTGAGTGAGATCTCGCCCAAGGAGATCCGGGGCTCCCTGGGGCAGGTGACCGCCATCTTCATCTGCATTGGCGTGTTCACCGGGCAGGTGCTGGGCCTGCCTGAGCTGCTGGGAAAGGTGAGTGTGGCTCCTGGGCCAACCAGGGCCCTTCTCATTTCATGTGACCATCTCAGCTCCCCATGTCTGTTGCTGGACAAAGGGTACTCAGAGGTGAGCCCTTCCTCCAAAAGCTTGTCCCTGTGTCTTGGAATCCTGAGCATGCCAGCCTTTCACTTGTTATTGGAGAAAAGTTGTGTTCCTTTGATTGGGGTTGATTTTTTTTCAGGACATAAAGAATATATAACAAATTCAAACCCTTCAGAATGTTCAAATCCACCCACCCAATATCTTATTAGCAGCTTAGTTAGTATTCATTTAGGCTTTTTTCTTTGCTTATACAAACCTATATAAACATATATTTAATGGAATCGTGCCATACACATTGTTCTGCAACTTGCTGTTTTCATTTACTATATTTTGGGCATATTTCCAAGATGATTTGCTTATCTCTACCCCACTCCTGAGTCTTTCTTTCCTATATAAATATGTAATTGCACAGTCTGCTGTTTTTAGCTTTCTGTTTTGGAAGCAGAAATGTCTGACTTTGAATCCCAGTTTAACACTTTACTTGCTGTGTGGTCTTGGCACAGAGGAATGCCTCACTCAGGTCAGGATGGGGTGGGGTGGGATCAAGGAAGGCTTCCCAGAAGAGGTGGCCTCTAAATTGAGCCCAGAAGGGCGAGCAGGAGTTAGGCAGGTAATGATGGGTTGGGAGTGAAGTCATTGCAGAGAGAGAGAATAACTAAAGGAAAGGCCCTGGGACACAAAGGGCCCTTGAAAGAACTGGGAGTGGCTGGGGGCTGAGGAAAGAGCATGCGCTGGGAGCTCGCAAGATCAGGCACCTGTTCACTGACATTGTCCTGGGGAAATAGGGAGCCCTGGGAAGCACTAGAGCAGGGGAGTGACATGGCCAGATCTGAGTTAGAAGGTGGCTTTGGGGCAGGGTGATGTAGACTAGGGCAGGAAAGGTGATAAGGGAGGAGAGAACCCTGGTGGAGACGGCTGCTGTTGGTGCTCATGGCAAGGGAAGGATGGGGTGGGGTGGGGGGGACTGAGGCAGTGGCCTTGAGGAGAGAGGGGGTGTGGGTTGAGTCCACAGGACTTGCAGCCTGATTATCCAAGGAGGATGAGGGAAGGAGAAGGGCTAGGATGCCCCCCAGGGATGCAGAGCATTTCCTTCCCACTTACACAAGGAGGCCAGGAGGGAGGAGGGAGATTAAACCTCTAATGATGGTCAAATGCCCACCATTCTGGCACTTGAACAGAGCACAGTTGACAACCCTGCCCCGTGGGCTGCATCCCAGCAGGAGGCGGCGGCTATAGAAACCAGCAGAACAAAGGCTCACCTCTCACAGCGCTTATGTAAAATACTTGTTTTTCACGCCATTCAGAGCCTCACAGCTACTTTGTGAGCAGCTGGCATCTGCAGCTGTGGAAATGGAAGCTGAGAGAGGTGAGGTACAGAACTAACCAATAAAACAGGCGTTGGAGCTGAAATCAGAGCCCAGGTCTCTCTGCTTTTACACCCACATGTGGAGTGTGTCTCACACAGCCAAGAACAGGACACGATGGGTTCTCTGGGACTGTGCGTAGGATTTTGACACCGGTTCTGGTCTCTGGGTTCTTTCCCCACACCAAGCAATTCTCCGACACCAGCTGGGTGTCCTACAGTTCAACTCAATTCTGACTCTACTTAGGCATAGCATCAGATTCCAGAGGTTAAGGACTCGGTCCCACAAGACTGTCCCCGCTTCAGATGCCCGTTGTTACCTGTACTTCTGACCAACTGGCTGTAAATCAGAGATTCTCATGACCCCCTCCTTGGGTTCAATTAATTTGCTAGCACGGCTCACAGAACTCAGGACACCAGTTGACTTACTAGATTACTAGTTTATTTTTAAAGGTTGTAACTCAGGAGCAGCCAGATGGAAGAGACGCCTAGGGCAAGGTGTGGGGAAAGGACGCGGAGCTTCCAAGCCCTCTCCAAGAGCACCACTCTCTCAGCCCCTCCCGTGTTCACCAACCTGGAAGCTCTCCAAACCCCCTCCTTTGGGGTTTTTATGGAGATTTCATTACATAGGCATGATCCTTTAAATCATTGGCCATTGGTGATTGACGCAATCTCCAACCCCTCTCCCCTCCCTGGACGTGGGGGGGGGGGGGGGGGTGAGACTGACAGTTCCAACCCTCTAATCACCTGGTTGGTTCCCCTGGCAACCAGCCCCCCCCACCCCCCCCACCCCCGTCCTTAGGTGAGAACCAAAAGTTACCTCATTAACATAAACTCAGGTGTGGTTGAAAGGGGTTTGTTATGAAATCAAGACAACTTTATGGCTCTTATTACTTAGAAAGTTCCCAGAGTTTTAGGAGCTCTGTGCTAGAAATGGAGATGAAGACCAAATATGTATTTCTTATCATAAATCGCAATATCACAGTGAGAGCCTAGGTAAGGGGGACACAGGGCCGCGTTGTGCCTGAGCCTTCCTAACCTTCGAGCCAGCTCCTGCTTCCTTCAGCAAAGGTTTTTTAAGCTGAGGAATCAAGCCTGGTGGCCACATGATAGGATAATGGGAGCTGGTTGGCATTTATCACTTAAAAAAAATTTTTGTGAATGTTTTGCTAACACTTTTTATTGTGATAAAATATATATAACATAAGGTTTACCATTTTAACATTTTAAAGTGTACAATTCCATAGCATTATGCATGACTTTTTATATTTCACCTGATCCAGGTCACCTTAGAGGCATCTGCTTCTGATCTTTTATTATCGACCCTTCTGGGTTATCATGGCTACAATTTTTTTTTTCTCTTTTGCAAAAACAGAAAAACTCACACTTTACATTTGTGGTTGTCACATGCATGACAATTTCTATAACTAACGCAAGTGTATTGGAAACAGTGTCTTTATCACAGTGAGGTCCCACATTAAAGAAATTCTCTTGCTTTTTGTTTTTAAAGATATCTTAAAATTCTAAAAGTAAACATTAGGTGTGTGACAATGAAAATAATATAACAATTACAACTTCTGTTCTTCAAACATAAAAATGTATTTTAAGGTCAATGAATAGTACGGTTGTCCTCTAGGGGTAATTTATTTTACGTAAATAAATATCTGCCCCAATAGAGGCCAAGATTTTCCTCTTTCGAGATAATTTCCAATTCCTCGTCACTCATCACACTCCTCTTTCCTAAGTCAGCATGAGGTCCTTTCTGCTACTTGAGTCCCGTCTTAGTCTCTTGGGGCTGCTGTAACAAATACTGTTTACTAGGTGTCTTATAAACAACAGACGCTTATTCCTCACAGCTCTGGAGGCTGGAAGTCTGAGGTCAGGGTGCCAGCATGGCCAGGTCCCGGTGAGAGCCTGCTTCCTGCCTTGTAGATGGCCGCCTTCTCGCTGTGTCCTCAAAAGGGGGAGAGAGAGAGTCTCTCTTTCATGTCTCTTCATATAAAGGCGCTAATGCCATTTGTGAGGGCTCCACTCTCATGACCTAATCACCTCCCAAAGGCCCCACCCCCTTATGCCATCACCTTGGGGGTTAGGATTTCAACCTGTGGATTTGTAGGGGGACACAAACGTTTAGTCCATCACAGGTGCCCGGGGCTTTCTTGAACTTCTGTCTTCCCTCTTCACTCTCTCATTCAGCACATTTGCTGAACACTGAGTTGGATGTTGAAGCTACAGTTTTAAGAATGGTCATGAACCGGGTATGTTCCACGCCCTTGTGATGCTCACAGTCTGCATCACTGTGTAACCTTGGGCAGGTCACCCCAGCTCTGTGAGCCAGTGTCCTCCTCAGTGGCAGGCGTGGTTGTAAGTCCCAAATCCCCAAGCTCCACTCCAGCATGACTTCCTCTAGGAAACCTCTCTGGCACACAGTGACACTGCTCAGCATGTCCCCAGAATGGACACCTTGTACACAGGCCTGTCCCATGCTATTATTTCTGTTTGCTTCTGCGTCTTTTCCCTCCAGTAGATTATGTCTTACTGCCACATATGTACACTAACCCCAGAGGTTTCAAGTTTATTCACTCATTCAGCAAATATTTAGAAAGTTCCTGCTCTGTGCTAGGTGTTGGGCTGGTGGCTGGTGATCATGCATCAAGGAGATCAGACTTCTGTCTGCCGTTGGGGACTCACAGGAAAGGCAGTTAACCTGTGGTGACTAGAGTGATGAGGGAAGGGTAGGGCTCCATCCTAGAGTAGGGGACCAGGGATGGTTTTCTTGCAAGAGACATTTAAACTCATGCTTCAAGAATGAATAGGATTTACCCAGGCCAGGACTGGTGGGGAGAAGGGCAGAAGTGGGGAGGGTGTTTTGGGCAGAGGGAACAGTGTAAGTGAAGGCCCTGGCTTTTTCAGAGGCAGAAACCACAGGGGGACTGGAGCATTGAAAGGGAGAGTGTGGTGCCCTGGAAAGGTAGTGGGGCCACATCCAACGGGGCAGGAGGGCCACACCTGTGTCGTGAGTACAGTGAAGGGTGGGCAAGATGAGGGGCTCGGTGGGGCCCGTTGGGGGGACATGCACTGTCCAATGAGAGTAGCACCTACTGTTTCCTTGGCAGATACTGGGCCGGAGCTGACAGATTTTCTGATTTTCAAGAGAAGTTAGAAATCTAGATTGTTATGTCATATTTCTTGATTTTTAAATATGAGAAATGAAACCAGTTGACCTTTAAAAGAGCAGCAAACAAACAAAAACCCTCCCATCTGTGGGCTGGGTCCAGCCTCTGGACCACTTTCACACACCTTGATGGGGAGTGTGCGTGCCCATGAAGGTTTATCTTTAACCAAGAGCAATGAGGAGTCATTGACAGGTTGAAGTAAGGCAACAACAGATAAGATGTGTACTTTAAAAAAGACTCCTGGGCTGCAGCGTGGAGAAAGGATTGGATGCCAGCCGAGCCCGGAGAGATTGCACTGGTCCAGTCGAGAGATGCTAGGAGCTTGGATTAGAGTGATGGCAGGGGGCATGGAGACAGGTGGATGAGACTGCTTAGTGAGTGATGGGATGCGG